ATATGTTGTGTGTGTATTATTATATGATGTGGATCTATTATCATATGCTGTGGGTTTATAATTATATGCTTTGGGTCTATTAATATATGCTGTGGATCTATTATTATATGCTGTGGTTTCGTTATTATACGCTGTGGGTTTATAATTATATGCCGTGGTTTCATTATTATATGCTGTGGGTTCATAATGATATGTGTGGGTCTATTATTATATGCTGTGGTTTCGTTATTATATGCTGTGAGTTTATAATTATATGCCGTGGTTTTATTATTATATGCTGTGGTTTCATTATTATATGCTGTGGGTTCATAATTATATGCTGTGGATATATTATCATATATTCTGTAGAAACTAGGTATTTGAATCCGGACTTCTCGTTTTTGGAGTTGACTTGTTCAAAATGGCGGCAACTGCAACAGGGCTTACCGTAATAGGAATTAGAGTACCAAATCCCCGGATGAGCAAATGGCGTTATTTGTGGTGCCACAATTAAAGCCATCTGCTTATCAGGGGATTGGGTTCTCTCTTTGCTAGTGCTCTCGAGCGCTAACAACTACGTTAGTCCAAATTCCTTGAATACGCATGCTCGTCGTGCATTCTGTGAAAATTGTGAAAACTACCATTGATAGACCCTACGATAACAATTTCGTTGTATCATTAAATAACTGTGTTTGTTTATTGTGTAGTTTACACTTCAAAGATTACTGCATAATTCTAATACTTCAAATTTTCCCGTTTTCTGACAGAAAAGCTCGCGTCATTATCTGATTGTTCTAAACAAAAACAAGGGAGGTTTTCTGCTAGCGCCCAGCTTCACGGTCGGTCATTATGGAAAAACTTCACACGGTCTAGCTGTCTGTAAATTATACGACCATAGATAGACTCTACTATAACAATTTCGTTGTGTCATTAAGTAACACGAGTCTTTTCTGTTTGATTCTGAAGTTTGTTTATTTACAGTGTATCTTACACTTTAATGTAAACGACACAAGAAAAAAACTTAGGTCATATAATGCAAAAATAGACATCTAGCTTTCGAGTTCTACCACCTTCATGGATAATGCCGTCAACCTCATAAAAAATCTCTTTCTTCATTTCAAAGTTTATTGAATTGGCAAGACACAATAAGCGATTGGTACAATGCACTTCCACACTAATTCTATAAAATACACTTCACAAAAGTTTATAACTCTAACTATCAGACTTCATACTTATTAAACATTTAAAGACTTCAGCAAAATAAATTAGTTGACCACGAACCTTCCTTTCTGTATTTAAAAATTGCTACGGAGCTAACTCGCCTATCTTTTTTTTAAAAAGATAAACTTGTTCTTATTACGGTTAGGCCTTTTGCAGTTGCCGCCATTTTTGAGCAAGTAAACTCCAGAAACGAGAAGTCCTGATTCGAATAGCTAGTTTCTAATAAACCGACAGAATATATGATAATATACCCACAGCATATAATGATGAAACGAAAGCATATAATTCAAGAACCACATCATATAATTATAAAACCACAGCATATAATTACGAAACCACAGTATATAATAATGAAACAACAGCATATGATAATAGCGAGACCCACAGCATATAATAATAAATCCACAGCATATAATAATAGACCCACAGCATATAATTATAGAATCACAGCATATAATAAAAGACCCACAGCATATAATTACAAACCAACAGCATATAATAATAGACCTACAGCATATGATAAAATCATCTAACATAAGGCAGTCATGGCGTTCGATAGGTTAACGTGATTACTTTAATTGTTATCAGTATTTCATACTCCCTAACCATGCTTACTTCATGAATAGAAATAAATTCATCTCGATTGAGTAAGCAATTATAGAAAACTAAATAACTATGAATGAACATTTACTCAAAACCATAAAATGTAATATTTCTTATATTACTTGATAGTTGTCAACGAAGATGTACATGTATCTCATTGTGAATTGATAATATAGTATCATTTATCCATTAAATATTTGGATGTTGCTGTAATTGCATATTAATAAAATTTACTTGAATAAATGTTATTTTGTTTAAATCTTTCAGTCTTGGCCTTCAATATATTTAATTTATTACTTCGACATAGTTTTTGATTTGGTTGATCATTGTTGTGTACACCTTTATTGGTAATCTTATAGATCTATGCTTCCACTTTCTGCGATGGCTTTGGGAAAATTATACTGAAATCAATCAAGAATGTTTTAACGTGAATTCCTTAACCAACAATATTTAAAGATGAATTGAAATACATAGTAATTAAAAACGATGTTTCTAATTAATAATTTCTCATTTTAAAGGTACTTGGACACAGATTTGAAGGCAATATTTTCTCTATAATATTACGACTTATATATTTTAATAGCATTTCACACAAAAATTAATTAAAAATATTATTTCATTTAAAAGTAATTAAAACTTCAAATTTTTTGGCGGGTTTGATTGACACATCCTTGCACTTTCACAAATTTTAACTTTATTCTTAATATTTAGGAAAAGTGGCAATCAAAGTACTGAAAGGACTGATACGAATTGATGTTTGTCCAAGCCAGGCTTGGGGTAATGCTAATTGTAATGGTAATGCATTGCAATGCATTACATGAACTCAAAGTAATGTTAGTAATGTGTAATGCCCAAAAATTTGCATTACATGTAATGGTAATGTAATGCATTACTTCATAAAATCCAGTGTAATGCTGGCATTACATAGCATTACACAGCATTATTTTGTAAGATAAGTACCTATTTTAAGAAATTTAAATTGACATGGATGATGGAATTATTGTTAAGGTTATTTATTTTATTTATTTATTTTTATTTTTTATTTTGTTTTATTATTTATTTATTTATTTATTTTGCAAATGAAACTATTGAATAAATTTAAAATGTTAATCTATTTAGATAACATTCCTGTATCTCTTTAAATATACTTTTTATTCTGTTGAAAGTACACATACCTTACATTTAAGTTTTCAAACTTATTTCAGATAAGAATTGATTTCAAAGAATTATATAAAATAGTTTAAAAAGATCTTTTTAAAAAAAAAATGCAGTCATGTATGAGTACATGTATGTAGATGGTACGTAAGATCTATAACTAAGATCTTTCTAAAAGAAGAAAAAGAAACTTACATTATCTAGTTACCATAAACCCCAATAAATATTTTTCTTCTCAATTAAAGCACAAGTACATTGTATATATATATATATATATATATATATATATATATATATATATATATATATATATATATATATATATATATATATATATATATATATATATATATATATATATATATATATATATATATATATATATATATATATATATATGCGTATAGTGCCAAAATAATCAACAGAGAAAGCACATTGTTTTACTCTATGGACAATTTATCATGTCTATTCTTCTTCCTCAAATACAGAAGCAAAGGTTGCGATGTTAACTTGCAATGGTACCTCCCAATTCAACATTTTGGTCAATTTTTGTTCAAACTTTACTCCACAAAGTTGTGTTGAAAAAAATATGTTTGAATTACTACAGTTGCCTTTCAAGAGTTCAAAAGGGCGTAACAGAAATATTAAGCTGAAAATCAAAGAGCCTCAAGTTAGATAAAACTGATTGATTAAATATAAACATATAGGGAAAAAAACTTGCATACCAGTATTTTAATTCAGAAATAAAAGTCAAATTTTTTAGCTTCATAATGTGATTACGTAATTGCATGACTTGCGTGAGAATTTGCAAACATTGTCCAAAATCGTATCAGCATGAAATTATCAAGCAACCCAAAAGCAGGATCATCATCATGAAACATTTATTCTTTACATTCATATGCTTTTGATTCCGTAAATCACTTTCTACAAACGCCACCTACATCTGTCACTCTGTGCACCACCCGCACTGGATTTTATTTAACAACGCTTATAAATGAACCATGTTTTTTAGTATTTTATTTTCATCTCGGACAAAGAAATATAAAAATGTTAATATATTATATCATCTCATTAAATGCAGATAGCAAAATGTACATAGAATTAAAGATATCCTGTAAAATGCACCATGAATTATTATTATTCAGTGGGAAAACCTAAGATTATACCGGTAAAGTTGAAATGACTTTAAATCTGATGCCAATTCCTAGGAAATTCTAAGACTATGAAATGAAAAATGTTGTATAATGTATGGTTCCATCTTTATACCACAAGTCTATGTCACTATTCCAAAAACCAAGAATCAATGGCGAAGTATGGGGAGATTTTTACAATGCAATCAAAAACACCTCCTCCCCCCCCCCCCCCCCCCTCAAACCAACATCAGAATAATCAACCTGTAGAATTGCTGGCCTTCTTATTAGTATTCTCATTTTATTAAAAAAAAACTTTTATTTCCTTAAACAGTCAAAAGTTTTAAAGAGACTTTTGATGCATTTGATGTTTTGTGTTTTTAGAAAATACCATCTTTTGCTTGCAATATTTGTTTCCCTTTCTGCCTCAACCCCCCCAACGGAAATGAATATACAGTGGTTGCCATACAACTGAAATCAATTCTATTATAATTATTATAATATTATATTGTAATTTAACCCGATAGGAAAAACGTAACCTTATTAATAGTATCTTTATCTTATTAAAAGAAAAAATATGTAAAAGGTGAGTTCACTATATTCACAATAAATCAGTTGCTTATTTTTAGTCCATTATTTATATACTGAATTGCCGACAGATTTTTCCGTTATTTCCCGATCATGACAAGGAGCACACGGCGGGTGTGACCGGTCGGCAGGGGATGCTTACTCCTCTATGGCAACTGATCCCAACTCTGATGTTTTGTAGGTCTGTGTTTGCTCTGCTCCTATTTTGTATTGTTTTATGGACTTTGATATTGAATGAAGGATATGGAGATAACGAACAGTATATACTGTTCGTTATCTCCATATCCTTCATAATGTAAAACATAAAAAATTAATAGAATTTAATATAGGTCAATATAAGTAATGTGCAGTGTGCACATGACTTTTTTTTTTATCAGATGATAATAATTTGATTTTTGATAAAGCTATACAATTTGATTGAACTTTGGATTCTTAAGATTATCACAATTCACCAAGATGCACTGGATTACAAGCACATTTATAATACTTGTGTGCACATTTCTGAAAGCAAGGAGTTTTTTATTTTATGGAAAAACCAATGTTACATCGCCATCTAATGGAAATTCTGATCCTGATGTATATAACCAACTTCTTCATCTGGAAAAAGTGTTTGGATTCTATATTGAGGGATCAAAGGCAACAAGCTCTAAAAAAATCAACAATTTCTACGACAGCAAAAGTTATTAGAGGAAGAAAATCACACAGCCCAAATGAAGATATCATTTTTAGAAAGTGAGAACAAAATCCTGATGAAAAGATTAGACAACTTGAATTCATCAACTATATCACAGGATGAAAAACTTTATAATTTAACTTCAACATCAACATTTTTGTTTCAAGAGAATAAAATTCTGAAAGATCACATTCAGATTTTGAACTCTACTTCCATGCTTATGCAAAAAACTTGACAACATCAGAAGACTTAAAAAGACTGGAGAACAACTTCACCTTTGAACTTGAGCAGACGATCAGAGACAGTGAAGAAGAAATGATGAAGAACATGTCTACCACAGTCACAGACCTGGAACTACGAGACCGATATTTATCACTTTCTTTGCTCGATTTACACAACAACTTGACTTCGATTAACATCACACTTTTAAAGCTTATTCAACAGCAGAAGACACGTGAAGAAAAGCAGAATATAACAATTCAACATTTATCACTTTCTCTACTCGATGTACACAAGAAAAAAGCAGTATTATCGTCTTCTCTTTCTAATTTGGATGCGCAGCAGAAACAGATGAAGAGTGAGATCCAAACACTGACAAATGCACAGCAAAAGGACATTACCAAACTGAATCATACAATTATCCATCTGAAGAATCGTATGTATACTCTTAATTTTTTTTCTTTCACTTTTGTTGAAAAAGACCACTTAGTATAAAAGTATGCTTATTAAGGGACTACTTCAGTTTTAGATGACAAGGTTTTATGTATAATTTTGATATTTGGTGACTTAATATCTATGTAAAATAACTTTCTTTCTAGTTGATATATAAGTACTGGTATTGTGATGACATAGATTATATCATTTTTCACATATCCTAAAAAATCATTAAAAATAGCCAATTTTTAAGTTTTTTATTCTTCAATATTTTGAATAAAGCATTACCCTATCTCAAAAATATACTTTACTAAAAGACTATTTTGGTGAATCATTGTAGAAATGTTAAGATAATAATACAATAGAGACATCCAGTTGGGATTTAATTCGAGACCTTGGGGATGCAAGTCATGTGGTGCGAGTTAAAGGGTTAGCCCACAAGCCCAAATTAGTATATTAGGTAGTCGTGTTTCTTAAACTACCACATTGTCCCAGAGAGTGAAATGTCCTCATTTCTTTTGAAGTATATGACAAAGGTCTCGGGGCAGTCAATTTAACCCGCCAGAGAATACCCGGGACCCAACGTGAGCGCAAAATTAAAACAATGTCTAAGAGCCCCCGCTTGGGATTGAACCCGCGACCGCGGGCATGGCAATCCAGTGCAATGCAAATTTGATCTAAATGATTAACCCACTAGCCCAATCAAGTGAAGCTGTGTTTTTTTTTTTACCTCCACGATATAAGTTACATGTTTTATTACATTTACATGGTGAAACGCTGTGATTTATTCATTTTGATTGAAGTTTGAGGGTTGTATTTATATTTTTCATTCTTTTCTAAAGGTACACATACTAGCTTTCCACGACTGTAAAATTATAAAACATTGCGTCTTTTCATAGCCATTTGTTTTCAAATATGCGAAATCTCGTAAGGAATTTATGTTTTGAAAATGTATGAAAGCACTAAGTCTTTGTTTTAAATTATGTTATTTTTGAAATGAGTCATAATTATGGGAGACAACAAATAGCTCTAAACTCGATTGTTTTATAATTTTCATGGTAATAAGTGTATATATGTTTTTGTACATGTAATTGCATTGATGATAAAATTCTAAATTGTTGTAAGACAAACAATAATACTCATGAATTAATAAACATAAATTACAAGCACTATATTTAATTTATTGAAAGATATTTAAATTTGCAACTTCATGTAGTAATTGATTGCATTAATTATAGACGCAGCTATCCCTTTTTATAAAATTTCAATTTACCTACTCATGACTAATAGAACTGTATTCTTAGTCTGATGTATATTTTTAGGTGCTCAATCCAATGTAGCTTTTACAGCTGGAATTTTAGGGGAGACCAACGGACAACATACATACAGAGGTACTGTTATCTTCCCAACAGTCATTTACCAGGTGGGAGGAGGATACAACCCCACAACAGGAATATTTACTGCCCCAAAAGCAGGTCTTTACATCATATTCTGTACTAATGTTGCATTTTACGATGAATCATTCTGGACAAAAATAATGGTAAACGGTTCAGTTCAGGCAGGAGCCATGGCTTATGTGAGTGGATCTGCTAATACCTATCAGTCTGCCTCTAACCTTGTTGTCCACAAGTTACAGGTGGGGGACAGGGTCTGGATAGAAATTTCTATTGGTACTCATCTTTTCCAGACACAACGTTTTCTGTCATCATGATCAATGGATCAGACTAAAACTATTTCTGATAATATGATTATTTTCAGAGTCATTAGTATTCTATACAATCTTGACACTTACATGGATAGAAAAATTGTTAAATCCCAGTTACAAAAAACTGATGAACTACAAATGAGCATTCATTCAAGACAATAAGATGTGGTGATACTTGATATCATTTTATCAACTAATATATACACAGAATTTTTATGATTTGAAAGGTAATATAGTTTCATTTAACCATCGAATGTTTTGATGTTGCTATAATTGCAAAATTACTTGATTTTAATAAAGGTCATTTTGTTTACACCTAATAGTAATTAAATGTATCTGTACATAGTTTTTGATATGGTTGATGATCACTAATATGTACACTTTAGATCTGTGGTTTAACTGTTTACAAAGATTTTGGGAAAAGTATACTGAAAACAGAAACGTTATCAGTAACAACCATGATAGCTTCACTGTTTCGTTCCTTGAAACGTTTTCTATGGAATTTTTTTTTAAAAATCAATACCTAAAAATGATTTGAAATATATTGCAAAATACTTTATCCATTATTAATTTTGTTCAATATCAAATTGCATGAACCTTCTGGTAAAATAGAAAGGGGGGATTATACTGAATGATTTTCAATACACAATACAGTCTTAAATAAATTATATATCATATCAGAGATCTATAACTCTTACTAGAGGAGGAAAAGGAAACGTTTTTTATACATAGAAAGAGATGGCACGTTTATATTGTTAGTACACAAGAGAAGTTATCACCTTACCGTCTAGATTGATGCTGCCTCCATCACTTTCATATCAACATGTACCATGTGTGTTTGAATATGTACAGGGCTATTGTGAAGTGTGGGATCTACTCCTCAAAATGTCCGCATAGAGAGTATTTACTTTTTAAAATTCAAGAGAAAGATCATCTTCGCTAGCCAAGGGTTTCCGATCCGAAATCTACTCTAGATTTCGGATAGGAAACCCTTGGCTAGCAAAGATGGAGAAAGATGCATTACTATACTGTATGAACCATTACCTCTGCATTTATAATGTTTAATCCTTTCTTTTGAAGAATTGTCCTTCTTATACATTACCATGGAACCCCCAATCTCCAAATTGTGGTAACTTTTTTTGCTAAATCTTACTCAACAAAGCCGCGTTGTTAAAATGTTCGAAATTCCAGCATTGTTTATCAGAGTCACAAAAGGTTGTAGTGGAAACATCAGGCTGAAAATTAAATACACGTACGATGTAAAAGCCTCAGGTTTGATAGAACTGTCTATTTGTTTTCAGGACAATACAATCAGAATAAAAAAAAATACTGCATAAATCAAAGGAGAATCAAACAGAAAAACTGAAATTATACTTTAACTATAGGCTCAGATGCAGTAATCAATTTCATTAGCTTGCAAAATAATTTGCTTTTTATAGAAATGTCAATCTCAATTTTGGTAATTTTTATCTTTAAAAAGCACAAACCAAATGACAAGATGTACGGCCACAGACCTGCATAGTCCTAAATCAATCCCTCCTCACCCCTTCCCCTTAGAATTTTAAGCAACGTGACTTGTTACCACGACGAGGGATAATAAGAGACAAACATCTCAGGTATCACATTCAAATGCATAGTTTAATTTGCATAATAATGTATAAATGGTGCCTGTTTTGGAGGGTAACAGTTGAAATTGACACCCCAAGGAAAATCATTGTCAACCGACGCGTCAGCGGAGGTTGACAATGGTTTTCCGAGGGGTGTCAATTTCAACTGTTATCCTCCAAAACAGGCACCATTTACTTTATTATACTGAATGTCATTTTTGATTAAAAGATGTCTGCAAAAAATCGTCGATTGTCTTTACCTTCACGTTTATAGAAAGCTTTCAAACTCCCCGCTACTTCGAAAAAGATTTACTAACCTCTTTATTGTTTATTTGATACTCTAAGAGTCCTTTATCATCTAAAGTTTTGTTATCTAGCACTCGCAAGCATGTTTCGTCTGTTGTTTGTTGCTTTTCAGTAAGCTACATCAGACGCAAGCTTTTATTTACATCAAGTTTATTCTGGTTCTTTCAAAGGCGCAAATGACGTATTGAGAATTCTACGGTGAACCGTACGCGCATAATTTCCACGCATGTTGCATTACCGTTGTGTTACCCGTTGCCACGTGTGTTGCTAAGGCTGAGGGTAATAGAACGGATTGTTAAATGCGTTTAAACCAATCAGATTTTAGTATTTAACATGAAAGTATAATAATATAAATTGTTACAGCAGAGACCTTAATCGTGGTAACCAGATAGGCGGGATGCGTTTGGCGCGATTGCACCCACGCCATCCCTTTCAAAAATGCTCAAAATATATCGTATTTGCAACAAAACAATGTCATTCTATTGTATGTAATAATACTGCAATATTTTATTGTTAAATAAGTATGTTAAAAATAATCAGTAAATTGTTACCCATTTATAAAAAAAATGTGAACGTCTCAATTTGTTTGTACCCCATTCACACGCCTCATCACCTTCTGATGACGTCCCTGTGTGCATTAATAACAGATTTTCACAACAATTTGAAATTTCGAGTTTATTTTTCCAAACATCGCTCTATTGTAATAAATAAATCTTGAAAAATAGACCAAAGGTAACTGAACTAACATATACTTACATCAACAAATTAACAGAATGTTATTTAATTAGAAGTTTTTAAACACAAAATCACGATAAAAATGGGAGAATCTTAACCATATGTAATCAAAGTCTATTGAGCTTACCTCAATAAATGTTGTTTTTAAGCAAGGCAAAATCTCAGCTAAGCTTATAATCTAGTAGTGTAAATCCCAAGATGCAACATTTGTGTAATTTTTATCTGATAGGGCTTGCAGTTACTTGGAAATTGACTTATGTAAAAAAAAAAAAAAAAAACCCAGTCAAATTAGTCACTCATCCAGAAATTATCGTTCAAATCCAGCATCTGAAGCAAGTTTGAAAGTGATAATTCCTTTGATGCATCATGCAAGAACGTTTGGTTCAGATAGGCCTTATATTTTCTACTTGTATAAATAATCATACGACAGTGTAAAGATAACCAAAAGAAATCTACTTATAATCCACAAATGTATGAAAGAATCATGCATAAAGTTTGGTTCATCAATTAAGTCATTGGAGTCCATCAGAATTCTGCCTCTTCATTTTCTCCTAACACTTTGACGTCCCCCATTGATACTGAATAAAGAGAATAAACAAAGGAAGAATATAGGCTCCGCAGATCCCTGCTAATACGTACGCCATATTGACCAAGGTTTGGTTGGATTTCTTTGGGTTGGCATAGGCATAGTTTTTAACGGAACCTGCAATATGCACACTTTACTGACATTTTATTCAAATTAGACCCAAACTGTATACTTTTCAAGAATTGTGAATGGACAGACACATTTCCATTGAACAATTAAGTTCTATATCCGTAGAATTGTGAATGGACAGACACATTTCCATTGAACAATTAAGTTCTATAACCGTTGTGTTTATCAGAGATGAAGTCTTGCATATTGGTCTGAAAATATGTGAGGAACAGACACATGGAACTTGTAAAACATATGGGCCACAGCAGGACATGTCATTTCGTTCTGTTGATAAAAGATCATTTTTCATTCACCTAAAACAAATGTAGGGAGCTTTTTTTAGCATGAGTATAATTGGTCTTAATGGTACTTATACCCAATTTTCCTTTATATTTCTCATATAGAGTCCTTTGTATTTCATCCAGGAGCCATGGTTATAAATATCGATCTACCTGTTTTATCTAACAGTTATTATGTAAATGTGATGAAACGTTTACTCTTCATTGACTTGTAAAAGGTATGTTTGGTACTGTTTTAAGTTATGGAATTTTTTTAATAAAATGTCATTTTCTTGATACAGGACAAGATAAAGTAACCGACTTAGTCTTGTATGGAGAATACATCATTCGCTATATCTTTTCTTATGCCACTTTATACCTGATGTTGAGTTTGCAATACCAAGCTTGAAACATATTTCATCTGGATAGTTGTCATCTTTTTTCCCAACAGATTTAATGCATTGCTGAAAATAACTGGACAAAGCTAAGGAACATAAATATGTAAATAAAAGAAAGAAAAATCCTACGATACTTTAATAATCATTATCTCATATACACTGTAGTCTGTAAAGTGTTTTGTTTAAAACTTCTTTTCACTGTATCATGTCCTGTAGAAATCCATACCTGTGGAGTTACAATACAGTTATTTAAAATGACTGAATGCTACAAAAAGGAAATATGTTGTAAGGAATGGCTCCATCTTTGTAGTACAAGTCTATGTCTCCATTCCAAAAAACAAGACTCAGTGACGTAGCATCTGAAGATTTCTACAAGATATACATAAATACAAGTTATAAAATCATAACTCAATGTACTTCGATTACATGCTCATATACATGTAGTTGAAAGTATATAGTGTGTATTTTTCAAAGAAAAAAATATCCAAGAAATCCTTGAGATTGCTTGCAAAATCCCTATTCATTTCCTAATCAATGATTTTCATATATTGATAGCTAAAGGGCTCAATTTTCATAATAATAATAATGCCAATAGTTCCGCTTTATTCCAGAGTGTCGGGGGCTAAAAAACTGGTCAAACGAATTTCCATCCATGACAGTGGCTGAAATGAGACGTGTTCTTTCATTTAAATAAAAATAAATTCCAATTCGCCTAATAAAATCTCTACGCTACTATTTTTTCTTTTTCAAAATAAACAATAATTATTGCTATTTAATTACATGAATGTTTATTTAAATATACAGGTTAAAGATAACAGTAATCATTTAGCTGATTTTATTTTTTATCAGATAGTAACTTTTTATTATAAGATAAAGTCACAACACTATATTATCCTGTCTGTTTGAGTTTTTATACAAATCACCAAGATGCATTGGGTTAAAAACACCTCTATACTACTTCTGTGCATATTTTTGAAAGCAGAGAGCTTGTTGTTTCACGGACAAACCAATACTACCTCAGCATCTGGTGAACATTCTGATCCTGATGTGTACAAACAACGTCTGCATCTGGAGACCGTGTTAAATTCCATAATGATGGATCAGAAACAACAAACTATGAAAAGTTATTAGAGGAAGAGATTAAGAAAGCCCAAATGAAGATTTCATTTTTAGAAAGTGAAAACAAAATCACGAGAGAAAGACAAGACGACTTCAATTCTTCATCCACTTCACAACAAAATTTACAATACCAGAAAACATTATACAAAGGCTGGAGAACATTTTAACTTTTGAAATAAAGCAAACAGTCAGAGAAGGTCAACTAGAGATGATGAGAAACATGTCTGCCACCATCACAGACTTGGAACTACGAGACCGATATTTATCACTTTCTCTTCTGGACGTACACAATAACACAGCACGGCTATCGTCTTCCCTTTCTAGTTTGGAGGTTAGACAGCAGCAACAGATGAAGTGTGAGATCCAAACACTGACAAATTCCCAACAGCATGACATTACCACACTGAATGATACAATTACTCATCTTAAGAATCGTATGTATACTCTGATTGTTTTTCTTTTCAATCGAAAAGTACAAACAGTTATAAAGAGCAAGTTGTACCTAAGGGCTAATTTAGCCTTGTGGAATTTAGAAAACATAAATATTTCAATTGTAGATGACATGGCTTTACAAATTACTGACGTTTGGTGACATATATCTATTAATAATTAATGTTTGAATTTCTTGTTAGTTGACATCCATAAAATGATGTTATAGAATGTCATAATTCTCATATTTTAAAAATTTTTATTTAAAAACCATTGTTTAAAGCTGTTTTTTTTACTATTTCAAAGAGAAGAAACCCATATTTAAAGTACACTTGACATTTTGCAGACTAGTATAATTTTTCTTTCCAATTGTTGCTAAAGAACATATAACATTTCATTTTTGGAATTCTATTATTATTATTATTAATTCACTCTTAATAGTTTTGCGAGACATTAAAAATTTGGAACCATACAATTTCACGTATTTTCAAATGATATGGAGACTCTGGTATATAAATTGCAGAATTTATGATAAAAATTAAGTCACCAAGTTTTTGCTTAAATTAAGTATTATATTTGAAATGTGACAGAATAGTCGACTTTCACATTTACAAAAGTTACTCCCCTTTGCGGGGTCAATCAGGGGTTAACCGGCGTATGACGCTGTTTTCCCTCTATAACCTTACAACTTTATGGGTCAGTATCTTAGAAATAAAATCTACATGAATATGCACATTATGTTTTTTATGTTGCCCCATACTCTGACAAGACAGGTACAGATCGAAATTGTACTATAACGTTTGAAATTTAAAAATATTAACATGTAACTTACAAAGGACAAAGTGGGAAAAATGAGCGTTACGCGACAACGGGAGATAACTATTAGGAATGTGAAATTCGTCTATGGAGAGTCAGTTAAATGGCTTATGGGGGCACTGGCTTCAGTACAATATTATGTGTCAAATTGTGGCTTTCCCAACTCAATGAAATGTTTCACACATTCGTATATTTTCAATTTCTACTTTAATTTTACATTATTGTGGATTTCAGATTCTCACACTCTTAATTGACCACAAAAATAAGATACAGTAAAATGCAAACCCATATATTAAAGAAATTTTAAGATATTCGAATAAGCTCTAACTACTAGGAAATATGGATCAAAGATAATATTTTTCAAATATATTAATTCTTTGTAGTCTTAACATAAACTATTACATATTTTTACATTAGACAAAAACCATACTATATCATTCTTGAATAGTAATTTATTGCATTAATTATTAACAGCTATATACCTATCTTGGGCTGTAATGAAATGTTGATTTACCAAATCAAAATTGAACTGTAATCTAAATGTCTGCTGTATTTTTAGGTGTTCAATCCAATGTAGGTTTTACAGCTGGGATAATGGGACAGTTATACGGGCGACATACATATACAGGTGGAGAAACAGTCAAATTTTCAAATATCATATACCAGGTTGGAGGAGGATACAACCCTACAACAGGAGTGTTTACTGCCCCAAAGGCAGGGCTCTATCTTATATTCTGTACTAATGTGGCATATAATGATGAATCCTTCTGGACAAAAATAATGATTAATGGTTCAATTAAGGCAGGAGCCATGGCGTATCTTGAATCCTCTACCATACATGCCTATCAGTCAGCCTCCAACCTTGTCGTCCACCAGTTACAGTTAGGAGACAGAGTCTGGATACAAGTACACAGTGGTAGTCATCTGTATTCATATTCTACAGATACAACCTTTTCTGTGATCATGATTAATGCATCAGATTAAAACCATCACCGTAACTGTATTATGATATTATTTTTCATATAGTATTTACTTTATCCATTAAACGTTTGGGTGTTGCTGTAATTGACAATTAATTGACCCGAATTAAAGTCATTTTGTTATCACCCTTCAACTTTGCCCTTCAAGATAGACATACTTTTTGATGTTGTTATCACTGATGTATATTGCATTATGATATAATTTGTTATCATTTTCATGTTCTAAATTTTGAATATTCCGAGTGGTAGTTGCAGCTTTGTAACTCATTAGTCTGAAAAAGTGGGATTGATAAGCAGAGAGCTATAGTTCCATCCATATGAAAAATAATTTCTTGCACAAAAAGTTGCACTCAATTTTGGATTGATTTCTCCAAAATCTTATCTCAATTGTACAAAAGCATGATTTCAAAATATTTCTTTCACCTCTATCAACTATACTCTAATATTATACTTTCATGTAAATTAGATTATTCTGATTGGTTGAGAAACATTTGTTAAAACACTATTACCCGCTGAATAATGAAACCTTGCCCTCCAGCGTAGCAACAGTCAACATTGCTTGACGACGGGTGTTATTCCAAAAAAATAGCGACTGCGCAGAATTTATGCGCGTACGGTTCACTGTTATATGTATTTGTGTAAAACATTCAGTATAATATATTAAATATAGCATGTAGTTGAGTGTAACATTGAAAATTTTACATGCAATATTTATATAGTATTTGATATCTGCATACAGCGAGTTGGAACGAAATATATTGCTGACTAGTCTATCCAGCAATATACTACATGTAGTGGTAAAAATATTTGGACATTTACAGTTCTGCTGCTATCTGGGTGGTATTAAGGGGATGAAGGACCTTTAGCTGGAAAAATACCTGTCGTTCAATTTTTTTTTCATATTTTGTATATCTTTACTTTAGTATGTCCCACATACCTTAAAGCAGATATATCAATAGGTTTCTGAATTTATTTTTGAGATATTGAGTGACAAATACTATGCCCCGCAGTGTCTAAGTGAAGTTTTGTTTCTCCATGTTTCTGAGCCCATTACTCGATTCATAATGGGATTTTTTCAGCATAGATAAAACATATTTCAGCGAACATGTGTCTTTTAAAATATTTCAGAGTATGAGTATGGTTAAAAATTCGAAAAAGCAAGATTCTTTTGTCACACCGCATCTGGAGACGGAAAATTACGTACTTTTTAGTACAACATAAACAACAAAAAAAATAATTTGCAAAAAATCCTATCATTCAATATTTGAAAAATTACGTTGAAATGCAAGTGCGTCAGGTTATTGATTATCTGTAAAAATATCGATTAGTGAAGCTGAGCTCAATATTGCACAGGGCACAGTTAAACAAGACATGAACATGAGAAAAACGTGTCATGTTTACATTTTTCGAGTACGGGAAAACCCAACTATGACGTCATACATTTGCAAAATCAGCGAAATAAGATACACTTACAAAATATTTTCGTCAACAACGATGTAAAAATATTTTTTGCCCTCTCTAATTCATGAAATGCCCCACCATGTACTAATCAGGACCTGGTTTTATGGTGTTGTACTACTTGTGTTTTACCGTTTATAATCTTACTGTACAAAAAAGTAGATCAGTCTATTCCGTAAGTTGATAATATTTGCAAAAAAGTTTGAATGTTTTTAGATATTTTTATACAAGATGATGAACTCAAACGAACAGTCGAAAAATTATACAAGTACTGTTGTTTCAATCTTGTTTTGTACATATTTTATCAGAGATTATGACGTAATTAAACTGAGTCATGTGACCATACATCCTTCGTCCCCTTATATAATTGTTTAGAAAATTACTTCGTCTGTACTCCCACTTGGTAAATTCAAATTTTAGAACGGAATATAATACTGTGAAATTACTAATTTTCATGAGAATTAAATTTTCGTAGTTTTCAAGGTTTGAAGAGACCCACCAATTTATGCATTTTTTCGTATATATTACAAAATTGTCGGAACCGAAAAGGTTGGGTTGGGTGCGTTTGGGACAATTGCATCGATCAACCTTTATGATAATTCTAAAATATAATATTTGAAATAATTTTATGGCATTCTACTGTTTAATGTTATGCAGTAGCATTTTATTGTACATGTAAATAAATATGTAACAAATGACTTCCAACATGCATTAAAAAACTGGAACTCGTTATTAAAGAATGTGGCTGGTTCAGATCAAAGTTGGTAGATATGGAAAACCTTAAATAGTTATATTTGTCTACGGGTTTTTCTGTTTAATCAATATAACACGAAGCACACGAAGTATGTCCGGTAGACAAAGGGGGCGATTTCTTCTCTACTGCATTTGATCCAACCTCTGCTTCCAGAGGACTATGTTGGCTCTGTTCATAAATGGACTTTTGAGAAAGATAACTATTTTGACCTTCATATTTCATTCATCAATAAGTCGACTGCTGTATTTACGAATTGCACGATGCATAATGAGTTACATCTTTCATATACTCTTTTAAAACTAAAGGATGTTAAAAAAGTTCATTCCACATTTTTTTTGTATTTTTGAAAAATAATAATAAATCCACAATAAGATACTTAGATTTAGTTCATTCTTACTAATGATAAGTTTTTAACCGTCTTTTGTTGAATTAATGACTGGAAGGCAGATATAAAAACAAATGATGAAACAGAAAAATCAGAGATGTGGCATATTTGTGACATATATATTAGCCACACAGATCAATAAATCCTTTCAAATGTTTTGCAAAATTTATCAAGCATGTAAAGAATTTAAATTTGACATACCTATACTTTTAAAAAGTGATTAATCTTTCTTATATCTAAGCTCATCAGTTTTGTAAACTGTAAAGTAATAAATCGTATATTTTCACACAAAATGACCAGGATTTCTGCCCCGTGGTTGCTTTAAAGATGTGTGTACATAATTCAATTTAGAAGTATACCTTATAACTGCTTGCTAGAAATGAATTGCTAAAAATCTGAAGCACAATCTTCTGACTGAAAAATTCATCAGTTTAGCTAAACACTACATGTACTTTGAAAATTTTTGAAATATTTCACTATGGAACGAATTTTCTTAACATCAAGTAGCAACTGTAGACAAAACAAAAACCAATCCTTACAAGATATCACAATGAAAAATAATTCTGTATTAAGCAGACGTACAAAGAGTATTTAAAAAATCAGGGAAAAAATCTTAAACAAATTTAAAAGTATTATTTAGAGACTCTATGTTGCTTATTATTGCTATCCAATAGATTTTTTGCTTTGACATAATGCCCCCATCCCGAAAAAAACATACTTCCATTCTAAATCCGAAGAAACCAAGAGCTATAAGGGTTGTCTTTGACTCATGTGCACGCTATGAGGGAGTCTCCTTGAATGATTCCTTGATGAAAGGACCAGATACTAGGCCCTAGAAAATTTCCTTAACAGTCTTACTTCAGCACTTAGCTGTAGATGCCTCTAGAAGAAAAACGATTATATTCCGTAAATCTTCTCTATAATATTGCCTGTTAGATGAACAAATCATAAAGACCTATTTAACATTGCAAGTAGACATATACTCTAAATATTACGGAACAGCGTCCAAGTAGAAATCTCCATTTATAGAATCGCCAGAGAAAACTAAAAATATACTGTAGTATATTCTAATTCAATACACGAGCCCTGGAAAATTTAGATGTGTGGAATTTCAATAACTCTAGATTTATTACACCTTTCATTACTCAGAATATATACAACCATTGTTAATGTGAAATGCTACCTTCTTTCAATAAATAAAACAAAATAATTTTATCATAAAAACTAATTAAGTCTAAGTAAAGACTATCTTTCACTTTATAGTTACAATCATCAATTCAAGCAGTTCTTTTTAATATTAAGCATTACGTATTCAGCAAAAGAGTTGGTTTTGTAGATACAATCATGATAATTCAACAATGACAAAGAAATATAACATAAGGGAAACCATGCATATGGTATGTGACTGAAAAACTCGAGATAACATATAGCTCAGATTAACATTGATCTCCCCATATTTTTTTTATCATTAACGTTGTATTAACGGTGGCAAAAATTTTGGTCAGCATCAAATAAGCAAAATATATCACATTCACATACCTCTAAACCGTTAAATTTCACAACTTGTTAGCAACAGATACATGTAGCTTGTTATACATCTGGGCCACTGCAGGGCATGTTGTGTATGAAAACCCAATTCTGTTGTTCTGCTGATCAAAGACCACTTAAAACCCCTCCATCCATTATTATGAGAGACATTTTGTAATTAATTTATTAAAATCAAAATGTTTTTAAGCAACAAGATCATCATGACTTTTAATAGATGCTTAATACTAGTATACTTTTTTATTTGTAAAATTAGAGCCTAATCTCAGCCTATGTAGCTTTTCTTAACCTCAGTTACCACGGTTAAAAAGAAATTCAACCTCTTGGGGTGTTCTTGATGAAATAACAAGAAATGTTTGTGAAACACTTATGCCCCCTCCCCCTGGATGCTTTGGAGCTACAATGATTTTGAATGACTGTTACTCATTCTCAGCAAATTCCAAGGCTTAAAAATAAATAATGTTGTAATGAATGACTCCATCTTTGTTGTACAATTCTATGTCTTAATTTCAAAGGCAATACTCCATGGAGGACCATTGGGAGATTTCTTCAATACAATTAAACAATCAGACTTTGGACATTTTACATGGTACTAAACTATATAAATCATAATTCATTTTTAATGTTTCATCGATATCTTATTCATGGAATACATGTATACGGCATTAAATGCATTGTTTTTTAAAATATCACCTAAATTTCTTGACATATCTCTTTCACATTACCTCTTCGTATAAAATAATATATTCTGGGATAGAGTGGTCGCCACACAATTCACAAAATATAATTCAAGTACATGTATATATCTGGTAAAAATATAAGTAAGTTGACTGTTATCATGATAAATCAATGGCTAATGTAGTACATGCATGACTCAGTCAAATATTTTTAATATAGGTCAAAGATAACACTTTGCATAAAATTTAGCTTGTATCTGCACGATAATAATTTGATTTTTGATAAAACCTCTCTATCTAAGTGAACTTGTTTGAATTATCAAAAAGAATTTTCACAGATCGCCGAAATGCACTGGAATAAAGGCACCTTGATGGTACTTCTGTGCACATTTTTGAAAGCAGAAACTCTCTTGTTCCATGGACAAACCAATGCTACATTACCATCTAATGGACATTCTGATCCTGATGTGTACAAACAACTTCTTCATCTGGAGACCGTGTTAAATTCTATAATGATGGATCAGAAACAACAAGCTCAGAAATCTGAGCAACAGCAGAAGTTATTAGAGAGAGAGATTCAGACAGCCCAAATGAAGATATCATTTTTAGAGAGTGAAAACAAAATCCTGAAGGAAAGACTAGATAACTTGAATTCTTCATCCACTTCATCAAAGCAAGATACCTCATTGAATGAAAAGCTGAATAATCTGAATTCAACATCAACTTTTCTGCTTCATGAAAATATAATTTTGAAAGAACAGATTAAGATTTTAAACTCTACTTCCATGCTTTTACAACAAAATTTGACAACATCAGAAGATCGGCAAAAGCTGGAGAGCATTTTTACCTTGGAAATAGAGCAGGCGGTTAAAGACAGTGAAGAAAAATTTATGAAGAACATGTCCATTTTTCTACTACGACAAGACATTAATTTCCAAAAACAGGTCAACATTTTAAATACTTCTCTCACACTAATCCAACAAAATATGTCTACTTCAGAGGACATTAAAAGTTTGGAGGATATTTTAACGTTTGAAATAGAGCAGACGATCAGAGACAGTGAAGAAAAAATGATGAAGAACGTCTGTGCCAAAATCACAGACCTGGAACTACGAGACAGATATTTATCACTTTCTCTTTTGGATGTACACAATAACACAGCACGGCTATCGTCATCCCTTTCCAGTTTGGAGGCTCAGCAGAAGCAGATGAAGAGTGAGATCCAAACACTGACAAATTCCCAACAGCATGACATTACCAAACTGAATGATACAATTACTCATCTTAAGAATCGTACGTATACTCTGATTTTTTTTTCTTTCTTTTCGATCGAAAAGTACAAACAGTAATAAAAGAGCAAGTTATACTTAAGGCCTAATTTAGCCTTGTGGAATTCTGAAAACATTAATATTTCAATTTTAGATGACATGGCTTTACAAATAACTTTGGCGTTTCGTGACTTAATATCTAATGAAAATTAATGTTTAAATTTTGTGCTAGTTGACTTATCTATTAAATGATGTCATATGATATATCAGTATTCTCATATTGTAAAAACTATTTTAAAAACCATGTTGAAAACTGGGTTTTTTTTTTTACTATTTCAAATAGAGCAGAAACCCATATTCAAAGTATACTAGACGTTTTGTATACTAGTATAATGTTTCAGTTGCTAGATTAGAACATATAGCAATTAATTTGTTTGGATTAAGAGGTGAGGGTTGTATTGATTCATATTTAAGCACACAAACTTAATAGTTTACCGACGGAGATAGTTAAATTATTGAACTATGCAATTTCACATATTTTCAAATAATATGTAGACTCTGGTAAATTTAGAAATTTTTGATAAAAATAAAAGCACCAAGTTACTGTTTAAGTAAAGCATAATGTTTTACTTAAGTAAGGAACTTAACAGAAGGAAGCTAAATGGTTTGTGGGGGCACTAGCCTCAGGACAATATTATGTGTAAAATGTGTAAAATGGTTGCTCTCCGCAACTCAATGAAATTTTTCACACATTCATAGTTTTTCAAATGTTTTAACATTTACATGATTGTGAATTTTAGATTTTCACACTCTTGAATGACCAAAAAAAGAAACTTTAAGATTTACAAATATTAGCACAAACTTTTAGGAAAAATAGATCAAAGATGTTATTTATTAAATAAATGCAAGTTACTTAATTTATTCTTAGTAGGCTAAACATAACCTATAATGCATGAATAGTAATTTATTACATTAGTTATTCACAGCTTTATCATGTTATGAAATTTTAATTTACCAAATCCAAATAGAACCGCACTCTAAAATCTGGTGTATTTTTAGGTGTTCAATCAAGAGTAGCTTTCACAGCTGGAATCCTAGAAGAGTATGATAAGCATCATACATATACAGGTACAGTTAAATTTGCAAAAGTCATATACCAGGTGGGAGGAGGATATAACCCTACAACAGGAGTGTTTACTGCCCCGAAGGCTGGACTCTACCTTATATTCTGTACTAATGTGGCATACAACCATGAAACCTTCTGGACACGAATAATGATTAATGGTTCTAGTAAGGCAGGAGTCATGGCTTACGTTAGTGGATCTGCTAATGTCTTCCAATCAGCCTCCAACCTTGTTGTCCATCAGTTACAGGTGGGAGACAGAGTCTGGATAGAAGTACATGAAGGTAGTCATCTGTACTCAGTTTTTCCAGAGACAACCTTTTCTGTCATCATGATCAATGGATCAGATTAATACTACCTTGTTATTGGTTTAACTTTCATTGTTATATGAATTTGAACACGTACCTCTTTCATACTTATTCCATGCAGAGAAGAAAAAAATTCTTTCTCAAATCAACAATTACAGAAAACTAATGATCTATGAATGAACACTCACTTGTCAGTATATCATATTGATGCCTGTCATATTAGGATGATAATGAATACTTATATCATTAATTTTCATTATCAATATTAATTATCAGTTAAAGATATTTCATCAGAAACAATACTTTTTTAAGATGGATATGGATATAATAAAAACCAATTGCAATAAACATCAATATCGTTATATTTTTTCGATATAAAATACAGTTGTGTTCCAAAAGTGAAGATAATTTTATTTTTTCTTTATATATTTCATTGAAAACAATATTTTGTAAAATCGCTGGTATGATAACATTTGACAGATTTTATAAAAAATTCCTTGATAATCCAAGAAATTTTTGTAGTTCAAAAAAACAATAGTTTTTATCTGATAAGCATTGATAATCTAAAAATATTGTAATTTAAGTGTGACATGAATTTTTAAGTCATATACTCACAATGAATTATATAGTCAACATTGATCTTGAATTTTAGAACTGATGTTTAGTGATGAACTATATTTTACTACATATTAAATGTTTAATGATTTTTTAAAGAAAGATAACTACACATTTTCTGGTTTAAGTACTGAAATAGATAATTAAATTGGACAAAAATTGACCATTTACCTATGATTTTACAAAATGTTGTTTTCAATGAAATATATAGAAAAAATAAAATTATCTTCACTTTTGGCACGCCACTGTAGCTTGAAATCATAAGGGAAACTGAAACTGTTACAAAAGATAGAAGACGTTAAATTAAATAACTGTATTTTTCTGATCGTAAAATTGAAAGTAGTACTGCAAATTTATCTCATTCTAATCTAGATTTATATTGCCTCCATCCAATTCGATCATTACAAAAGACATAATATATGTCTCTGCTGATATTACCTTTGACCTTACTCCCTAATGATATACACGATAAATGTATTTGGTGAATTTGTATTATACAGAACGTTTTGCAATTATTTATGCTAATTACCGGTAAAACAGTTACTGTAGAAGTACTTTTTTCCGCGTGGTATTAATTTACACTAAGTACGTGGTCGGAAATTTGTCCAAGCAAACTTAAAATAAATGTAAGGCATAAAGTGACCGTCAAGAAAATCTGCGTAATTTTCTACCTGCGGATTAACAGAAATTGAGATTCCGCGGAATAATGACCCCGCGGAAAAAAAGTGCATCTACAGTATTACAGATTTTTTCATATCACATCATAGCATTGGGCAAACAGTGAGTTTGATCAGTTGACAGGGGATGCTTACTCCTCCATCACACCTGATTCCACCTCTTTTGTTGAATCTGCTCATAACTTGTGTTCTTTAAATAGACTTGTTCACTGTTCATTCTCTTGACATTTAATTTATCATTTAGTATTGTGATGTAATTATAAACACACTATAAATTATAAATTGTATTTATAAAGTTAGCAACTTTAAGACAACACAAAGAATTTACAACGCTGTTGATGAAGTAGAGTTTATTAACTTGTGTCAGTAGAGTGAACTCTACAAGTTAAAAATATTACACCAAACAATCTGGAGTTATCTAGAATGTAAATGAGACAAATGAATGTTTATGACATACAAATATTAAAATATATTACGTCAAATAGTATAATGAACATGTGTGACATTTTTGTAAGTAGTTATGTAACCCACTGATCAAGCAACAGTTACACAGTCATGGTATCTACTTATAATTCTCCATAATATGTCCCTCTATCTGCTATCTAACTCTAACAAATCTTTATAAGCTAGAAATAAACCAATACTAAATATCACAATGAAAAATATTTCAATATTTAGCAGATGTACACCGAGTATTAAAAATAATTTGGAACAATATATCAAAGAGCAGAATTTGGAAACCCTCTATTGCTTCATAATGCACTATATTTTTTTGCTTAGCTACAATGCCCCGTTTACTCAACTCCAATTCTAAATCCAATGAGCCCCAAACAATGCCCTGCGTCATTCCTACACAAACAATCCTTAGTATCTGCAGCTGCCTATCACAAACCAGTTAACTCCTGTAAATCTATTCTATATTTTTAACAAACAAGAGAATGAAAATGTTTTATGACAAATATGGATTCAAGCAAATAAATATAATAACAATGACATCAGCAGTTTTATCTGAAATCAAATAACAAAAAAAAAATAATACAACATAAAATGTCTTAATAGATGAATACACCATTAAAAACTATTTAAAATGGCCAGTAGATAATTACTCTAAATATTGGGTAACAGTTTGTAAACTTCATTTATAATAGAATTAGCAGAGAAATCAAGAAATATACATTCTTATACAACACATATGCACTGGAAAATTAAGATGAGTCGACATTCACTATTAATTAATAACAGCTTTTCATGATTCAGAGCATATACAACCATTGTTAATGTGAAACTTTCACCAGATTGAACAAATTTATTTTGTATCAAAACTAAGTAAGTCTTTGTAAAGATTAAAAAGTTACAAAAATCAAAGAGTATTTTTTTACATCAGGCATTACATTTTCAAACATCCCCATTCCACATAAAAAAGAATATTTTAATAAATCATGATAATTATTGCTCCACTGAAATATATCTAGTCAAACTATATTTTTCAAGATTAAACAACCATATTATGCCTTGTACAATAGCCTACATGAAATGAAATTTTGATTTTAGTGTCAAGTATAAGAAGATCTTAATTTCTATACAGACCTTGAAGATGGCATGGATATACTCATGATTAACACAGGATATTGTAATAACTTTTTAGATAAAATTAAGCAAAACACTTCCCACTACAATTCTATAGATAATTATTCAATGTTAAAAAAGAATATCTAGTTATTTTCTACCACAGACAAATTTAACTCCCATCACTAGAAGACTCTATCACGACAAAATCATCTACATATAATTAAGAACCGTTTAGTTTGTCAATTAAGTCATTGGAGTCTCCATCAGAATTCTGTCTCTTTATTTTCTCGTAACACTTAAACGTCCGCCATTGATACTGAATAAAGAGAATAAACAAAGGCAGAATACAGGCTCCACAGATCCCCGCTAATACATACGCCACAATGATCAGGGTTTGGTTGGATTTCTCTGGTTTGGCATAGGCACAGTTTTCAACTGACCCTGGAATAAGAATGGTGACAATTATATACAAAAAGAATGTAATATACACTTAACAAAACTTCTAAGTGTTCACTTTCATAAATGTATTTATTTACAAACTACTTAATAGAATGGTATGATATTATCAAATTATTACAACAAATGAGTCTTCTCAACAATTGTAGAAAGAAAATTCAAAATCATCGATGAAAACCAATGTTGCGTGACGAAGGTTAAGAACAATAAATCTGTACTTTGTGGCACGTGTTTTGTGTAACAAGCATCTTTTTGTAATCATTATCAAATTTTAAAAACTGGTTTCATTAAAAAAAAACAAAATATTGGCAAAATGACCATTGAGATAGAAAGTAAAGCCGTTGGAATGTTGATATCTGGACCATCTTTGCACCACGTTTTATTCACTTTTATTTCATTGCTTAATTGTACTTGATATTACTTTTAAAAATTATCAAACAGTATCAAAACCCATTTAAACACATTTTTCTGTAGGCTGTGATCATTTTTCATCACTAATTTATCACAATCTGCTAGTTTTTGGCAAATTTAACCACACCAGAAGTGACCTTAGTCTTCTTCTGAGGGGAAAATTTCGCGTCACAACAGGTTAAAAGAGTGTTAGAGTGTCCTGGAAAAATCTTAGAAGCCTGGAAACAAACCATTCCAATCGTACGAAAATAATACGAAATCGGTTCTAGTGGCAGTCGTATATCATTCAACCAGTCTGAATTATCCTTAAAGCGGCGTACTTACGTGCTAAACACGCAAGAATATTGACCGAAAGGCAGTTGTGTGACGATACACTGTCAAATTCCCGGAACTGAATCCCTTTGAACACATTTGGGATTTAAGAAGAAATGTCAAAGCCCCCCCCTTTTCATCACAATTTTTAATGGTTTGGAAAGATCTATGCAGTACATGTAGGTGTGGCAGCAGATGGGTCAATCTTCTATTAAGGGGTACATGGTATCCAACAATAACGATTGTCTTGCAGTATTAGAGCGAATAGTGGGTCTTACTCCATCGAGGTTTTTTTTGAGTGGATTTTCATTTTGAGGGTACATCATTTCCTAGACACTTTGCTAAAAATTCTTACGAGATACTTACATGAAATTTACGCAACATCGAACTTAAATATGTATCATTAACCCTGAATTAAAGAAATAGTTTATTGTTTGCATTTGTTCTTTAAAACTTCAAAAATGTTAGGTGAACACTTAGAAGTTTGGTTCAGTGTATATGAGATGAAAATTTTATCTACAACACTGCATACAGGTTAAGATGGGCTAGAGCACTGTCCAGTCAGAGCAAACCCTGCTAGAGGATCAACAAAATAGGTAAGCTTGTGCTTTGTGTTTCCTGAAGTGAAAAGTATTTCGACTTTGATGGAATTCCACTAGCATTGTGGCAATTTGGGTAAATGTCCCACTTCTGCGCCCTTTTGTGACCCATGTGTAAGCTTTAAATCAAAAACAGTTCAGGTTTTAAAACAAGCATTAATTTAAGTTCTAAACTACAAACTAATATATCACAGTTTTAACTGTGCTCTGATGTTTACACCAAATAAGAGGCCAGATTCGACCATTACCATACCTTGTCCTTTCACAACCTTACTGACATTTTTTCCTGATACATGTAATTTTTCATTCAAATCATACCCAAACTATATATTTTTTTTACCATGAATTGTGAACGGACAGACACTTTCCTTTACAATTACACACTAGAATCTGTGGTGTTAATCAGAGATGAAGTCTTGCATACTGACCTGAAAATTTGTAAGGTCCAGACACATGTGACTTGTTATACATCTGGGCCACTGCAGGACATGTTGTGTCAGAAAACCCAATTCTGTTGTTCTGTCGATCAAAAACCACGTAAAACTCCTCCATTTTCACCGCTCCAATCACTGTGCCTGTTTTATGAGCAATATTTTTGCTATTTATCTGACAGTAACAATATTTTGTTTTAATTTTTTAGCAAGAGGCTATTGGATCTTCATGATCGTTTTACACAATTTTTCATCTAATTTTTTTTCCAATAAACTCTAGAGTCTGTGGTTTATCCAGGAGTCATGTTTTAAAAAAATTAATTTACCTTTATTTTATCATTGACTAATAAAAGGTAAATTCGATACTGTTTTAAGGATAACGAACACAAACTTTTTTTCAGCAATATTTCTCATAGATTTACATTTAAATTGGTAACGAGAATAATGTTTTCCAAGTATATTGGGGAAATTCTATAAGATTTTGTCGTAAGGTTAAAAATTTGTGCGCAATTTTGAATGTAATTATATGGGAAGCAAAACAAAGTCTCATATCTAAGTACCAAGGATAACTTATGATTTCTTTATATTTCAGGGATTTACTATTTACATGTATGTCGTTTCAAATCAAAACCAGTCAAAAAATGTATATCAATCCATGCATCAATTTTTAGATGTGTTAAGTATCCTTAAGCAAGGAGTTTTACTCAAATGTCATCCTCTTGCTATAGGATTAGATAAAGTAGCTGAAATTCAATCATGTATGGAAAATAAATCATTCACTGTATCTTATAATTTGTATTTTTTTTCTTATGCCACTTTATACCTGATGTGGAGTTTGCAATACCAAGCTTGAATCATATTTCATCTGGATTGTTGTCATCTTTTTTCCCAACAGATTTAATGTATTGCTGAAAATGGACAAAAGAACATAAATAGACAAATAGAGGACAAATACCTAGAATACTTTATTTACTGATTTCTCATAATAGTCTGTACAATGCTGTTACACATTTCTTTTCACTGAATCATGCCCTCTAAAAATCTATACCTGTGGAGCTACAATGATTTTGAGTGACTGTTGCAAATTCTCAGCAAACTCTAAGGCTACAAAAGGAAATATGTTGTAAGGAATAGCTCCATCTTTGTAGCATAAATCTATGTCTCCATTCCAAAAACCAAGACTCAATGGTGGAGCATTGGGAGATTTCTACAATATATAAACAAACACCCTGATACATGTAATCAAATCACAACTCAATATACTTACTTGCTCAAATAGTTAAAGGTTGCACTGTACAGTGTGTATTCTTAAGAAATACAAAATATGTTTTAGATTGCTTCTGAAATCCCGTGTCATTTATTTCAATCAATGGATTTCACAATTTTGGTAAAGGGATCAATGTTCATTATAATATTATGTCAACAGCTCCACTCTACTCTAGAAAGCTTCAAATTGAAGAAACTTGAATTCCCACTAATGACTGTGTCAGGAAACTCATTTTGTTCTTACCCTGACCAGTGGTTCTTGGAAAATATTTTGATACCCACCCTTTTTTATAGTCATTACCCCTTTAAATGGGGCACAACCTTTCATTTGATCAAACTTAACATAGGCATCAGAAGTAAATTGATAGGGGGCTAAACCAACAAAAAAGGTATAAGCCTCAATTTTCAATGCCCATATTATATCTATCTTTGCAAAAAAATGAGGGAGGGGGGTTTAAGGCCTTCGAGTTCCAACACCTAAATGCTTAAATCTAATGCACATGGTAAAGATACTCTTAGCTGTTAGTTTTATTGAAAGAACCATAGCCCAGTGGTGCCAAAGATGGGGGGGGGGGGTATTGTATAAAGTTAGGACAACATCAGTCAATGGTAAATTTTCTATTAGAATTAAATGCTTACTTGTGCCTTGGCTTAATGGGTCAGTCTTATATTTAATCTGATTTTTTTTTTCAAGGAACATTAATTTGGTATTTTGGTGCATTTTCTTTTTCAAAATAAATTAACCGTTAATTGCTATTTGCAATGTTTGAATAACAACTAGTTATCTAAATATACAGGTTAAAGATAACACTGATCATCTAGCTGATTTCTTTTTTTATCATATGATAACATTATATGATAAAGCCACGCCACCCCTAATATCCTGTCCATTTGTGTTTTACCACAAATCACCAAAATGCACTGGATTACAAGCACCTTTATGGTACTTCTGTGCACATTTTTGAAAGCTGAGAGTTTGTTGTTCCATGGACAAACCAATGGTACTTCTTCATCAACTAATGGACATTCCGATTCTGATGTGTACAAACAACTTCTTCATCTGGAACAAGTGTTGGATTCTATATTGATGGATCAGAAACAACAAGCTCTAGAAATTCAGAAATCTGAACAACAGCAAAAGTTATTAGAGGTAGATATTCAAACCCTGAAGCAATGGAATCAGACAGCCCAAATTAATAAAGATGTCGCTCTTAGAAAGTGAAAACAAAATTTTGAAAGAAAGAGTGGACAAACTGAATTCAACATCAACATTTTTGCTCCAAGAGAATATAATTTTGAAAGATCAGATTAAGATTTTGAACTCTACTTCCATGCTTATACAACGAAATATGACAACAGCAGAAGATCTAAGAAAAATGGAAAGCATTTTAACCTTTAAAATAGAGCAGACAGCCAGAGTCAGAGAACAGGAGATGATGAAGAATATATCTGCCACAGTCAAAGACCTGGAACTAAGAGACCGATATCTATCACTTTCTTTTTTGGATGTACACAGCAACATGACAATCCTTGACCATGCACTTTCCAATCTCATGCAACAACAGAAGAAAAACGAAGAGCAACAGAAAATGACAATACAAAACTTATCACTTTCTCTGTTGGATGTACACAATAACACAGAAAGGCTATCGTCATCTCTTTCTAGTCTGGATGCGCAACAGAAACGGATGAAGAGTGAGATCCAAACGCTTCTAACAAATTTACAGCAAACTGATATTACCAAACTTAATGATACAATTATCCATTATAAGAATAGTACGTATATTTTTATTTTTCTTTCAGTTTTGTTAAAAAAGACCAAAAACTTAAGAGTGAATTTTGTTGAGAGACTTTTGAAAGTCAGCAATATCACATAGGCTGAATTTTACCATTTTGCTTTTTCTCATAAAATCCACCTGGCTTGGTACATTTTTCTAAATGTCATATTACAGTTTTAGCCCCAATTCAAGATAACATATTCTGAATTTTTTTTTCATCTGTAAACCTGTACTTAGTGTGTTTCGTCCATATTTGTAATTATATTGAAATATTACTAATATTTTCCAAGTAAATTTCATTTTCAAGCTCTTAGGAGAAAAAAGTCTAGGGATTATCCTCTTTTCTAAACCTGTGACATGATATTAAGTCTCCTCAAAGGAAAAAAATTGTTTATATCATCTGTCCTTAAGAGTCCTGAAAAATAAAGGCCTAAAAATAAGTTCTATTCAATGCATGATCATTCTTTCCATATATATAAATCATCAATACCGGTACTTAATTGTGTGTTCTTGCTATGGATATGAACTTTAAACAAAAACTCTTTTCAAGGAAAACCAAATAAATATCAAAGGCATGAGGTTTTCTAGAATCAGCCTTTTTTCATCTTCTCAATGCATATTCTGCTAAATAGGCATTATAAAATAATACATTTCATATTAACAGAAAACAATTTGACAAACATATGCTCATACCTAATTTTTACAAAAACATGTTCTAAACACTTCTTTCTTCCATTATTAAGGTTGTGTGAACCTTGATTTGACAGCAATCGACATGTTGAATAATATAATTCATCATGTGAATCGAACTGCAAGTGTACTGGTGAAAAAAAAATTACATCAATCTAAATCACACATGTTTGGTTGGTCTGTCTGAATTAAGCAAATTGAATATTATATTTCTGCATGACTTCACTATATTTTTAAGGTAACGGAGTGCATCAATTTTGCATGTGCTGATTTTCCTGATATACAATTTCATTATACCAAATTAATATGACTAATGTTTTGTGTATTTTTAGGTGTTCAATTCAATGTAGCTTTTACAGCTGGAATTTTAAGAGAATATGGTAGACATACTTATACAATAGGAGCAACAGTTAAATTCCCAACAGTCATATACCAGGTAGGAGGAGGATACAACCCTACAACAGGAGTGTTTACCGCCCCAAAGGCTGGACTGTACATCATATTCTGTACTAATATGGCAGCAGAAAATGAATCCTCTAGGACAAAAATGATGATTAATGGTTCAGTTAAGGCGAGATTCATGGCTTGGCTTGGAACATCTATTATCAACATCTACCAGTCAGCCTCCAACCTTGTTGTCCACCAGTTACTGGTGGGGGACAGAGTCTGGATACAAGTCTATGATAGAAGTCATCTGTACTCAGACTTCTCAGAAACAACTTTTTCTGTCATCATGATCAATGGATCAGATTAATACTACCTTGTTACTGTTATATGAGTTAGAACTTATTCCATGCAAAGATGAAGAAAAAAATTCTTACTCAAATCAACAATTACAGAAAACTAATCATTTTTGAATGAACATTCACTTGACAGTATGTCATACTAATATCTCTTATATTAGGATGATAATGAATATTTATATTATTATCAATATTTATCAGTGAAAGATATTTCATTAAATGAGGTACAATCTGTACGAAATGTTCCACCCGGAATATTGGGGGAATTGAGGCGCACTTGGAGAGGGAATTCCGGGCGTCATTTTTTCTCTCTACATATATGGTCATACACAGGTTCCAGGCGTAAACCAAGAGGAAACCAAGAGGAAACAGGCAGGAATTTGAGGCGAAAAATGCAAATGAGCTACGCCCGGAAAAATGGATGACACCCGGAAAAAAATTACGCCTGGAAACTAAACTGACGCCTGGAATAGAATTACGTCTGGAATGTCCTATTTATTATATAATACTTTGTGACCTAAAAACCTATATATTTACCATGTTAACAAAGAAAAATATTTAGATTATAATTTACAATGTTAAAATTAAAAATTCAGCTTTTTGAATTGTAAGAAAACATAACGACAGGTCATAAACATAGTATAGAAATATAACATAAATTTTGTGTAAGGGACATTAAAACACCACTGATTGAGTGTGTATTTAGAATTAAACAAACTTTTTACAATACCAATACATTTTATCACTTCAGTAATCATATTGAAACATTTTAGTTACTCAATACAGTTCTTCATTTACTGTAGTTTACTCATGCCTCAATGCAGCCTCTATCAGACTGTTATTTTTCAGAATGTGTGCAAGGAAATTCAAATATCTAAAGTAATTTTAGGGTCAACAAGTTATAACTATGTCATTGTACATTATCCTAATCAAAGTTACTCAAATAGGTACCAGATATTAATGATCACACCTTCCACCAGATACCGTGCCATCCGGAAGAAGTGTAAAAGCCTTAACATTGATATATCTGCATTTCCTGTTTTACTCACACTAAATTCCCTCGTTCATGATCAAATTGAAACTTAACCCCCTATCTGATATGACCCTTAATTGATAATTAAATTGACCAATCAGAGGCTTTTACTTCTCCTGAAAGTTCCAGGCGTAATTTTTGTTTCTATCTTCCTGCCATTTTACGCCCGGAAAATCTTACCTTGCCTATTGACGCCCGGAAATTAGAAACGACGCCTGAAAGACGTCTCTTCTACTGAGGAGTAACTTTTCGAAAATTCCGTCTCCGCCTCAAGTATGCCCAGAATTTGTCAATCCGCCTTTAAAAATCATACAGGAATGTACATGTAATATGAATAGAATTTTACCATGGTTCTCATATAATGTTTAGAAGTTGCTATGATTTTTAACTCGAACTGACATATAAAGTAAAAATTCATGCAATTTTTTTTATGAAAAACAATAACGTTTCAAGATAGATGGATAAAATAAAAAACTAATTGAAATAAACATCAACGTCATTATATTTCTTCAAAATAAAATAGCATGAGTTCATAAGACAAAGGGAAACTGAAACTGTTACAAAAGATAGAAGACATTAAACAATCATATTTGTTCTGCCCATAATACTGAGAGCAATACAATAATTTTTGGAGTACTCTGAGCACTCCTTAAAGCAATATGAGCTGCATGTTTGACATCGGAAAAAATATTTCAAAATTGTAATTAACTATTTCAATCACGGAAAACAGAACGTTTTTAAACTTCTGTTGTTCATATTGCTATGGAAGAACTTTTTATAAGCTTTGATTGAAGCAAAATTGAATTATTGTCGTCCTGTACAATAATGATTTCTTATATAATGCTGTATATTCGGTTGTACAGAAATATTTCTTTTGAAACATTTTTAAACTTTATTTTGGTCTTATTGATCATAAGGATTTAGATTACATACAGATTAATCATAATAACACATTTTACTAGCAAAATAAAATTCTCAAAAATGCAGCTCATATTGCTTTAAAGTCTTGATAAATACCGAAAACATCTACTTCAATGTCAATCATGCAAACTAGTCAATATCAACCGTATGTATTTCTTATATAATACTATATTAAATTTGACCAAAAAGGCATTACGTTTTGTAGCCGGGCTGTCGCTTTGAACAATGCAAATTTTTTAAAGAGTTGTTTTGTTTACCCAATCATAATACGGAGCAAACAGAAAGTGTGACAGTTTGACAGGGGATGCTTAGAGCACAGAGAAAGTGTAACCAGTTGACAGGGGATGGTTAGTCCTCCATCTCACCTGAACCCATCTGTTATCATGGGTCGAGAAGGCACCACTCATATCTTGTATTGTTTAAATGAACTTTTTTTCTGTTCATAATCTTCACATTTCATTCATTAAGTAGTCTTATATGATGCAATTATACACTCATATAAAGTATAAATTGCATTTATAAAGTTAGCAACTTCTAGACAATATAAAAATCTAAATGCTGTTGATGGAGTAGCAATTTATATAATTTATGTCAATAGAGAGAAATCTACAAGTTAAAAAAGTTACACTTAAACGATCTGGAGTCATCTAGAATGTAAATGAGACAAATGTATGTTTCTGACAAACAAATGGAGTTTTATGAAAAGACTTCCTTTTACATTCGAAAGCTGACTTTTACATTTTAAGTAATGAAGTTGGTCTATGTATGGATTGTAAAAGTCAGTCGTCGATTGTAAAAGTAAGTCTCTTTATAAAACTCCAATAATAAGATATATTATATCAAATAGTATAATGAACATGTGTGACATTTTTACAAGTAATTATGTAACCTACTGATCAAGCAAAAACAAGTACCCAGTCTTCTTAAAATTCTCCATAATACTAGTACACCCCCTCTATTAGCTACTAGTATTTAAAGATATGTATGCCGTGTTAAGCAGTATTTTTGCACAGCTGAAACCGAACAAAAATTTCTGGAGTATAAAAAGCCACCAAAAATGAAGCTTTCTTGCAAATTCGACGAAATTTTATTCGGTATTAACAAAGTACTGGTCAGGAAAAGAACACGATATTCTCATGCATATTTATAAAGGACTGACGTTTATCCTGGATCTGCGCATGTGCGCGGGAAAAGCATCGCGAGAATCATCAGGTCGAGGAAAATATTTTTTGTGACGTCTGTTCAGTGAGGGACACAAATAGACCAATAAGCTCAATGAGTTGCATTGAATGCATTTATGGGTTACTACATAAAATACTACATGTGTTTTTCAAAAAGGCTAGTTTTTTTTTTTAAATCGCTCTCAGAAAGACTTGATGCATTATGTACATTATTATCTACTAATCCCATGCTCATATTTGCATACAAATGATTAACAATGATAAAAATTAAAGTTTTCCCCACTCCATTGTACAGGTCCGTTTGTTTAGAGTTTTCCCGTGCTGTACTGCTAGTGGGCATTTTCGGTTGGGTGAACATTTACGGATCTTCAGTATGGAGCGCATTATGCGCAAAAAATATTTTATGTCAAGTACAATGTATGGAAAGTAATTTAAACTGCTATGTTTACACCCTGAATGGGATATCGTCAATAATCCCTTTTGGTTTTTTAATATGAACTACATAACACATGTAGATGAAACTTACATACCATACATCTTGACTTCTTAGAGATATAGTTGGGCAAATAAAATAAAAATGGTCAAGGAATTCCAGGCCTCTAAAAACTATTCCAGTTTGAGGGCACAACCAAGCATTTCGATGAACACCATTAAGAAAAATTAATTCAGGTAGATAGTATCGTTTTTTTTAAAGTGGGTGGGGGGATAGAACAGTTAGAATAAAAATCAACTAGCTCGAAGAAATCTGACAAGTAAAATAGGTTCCAATATCTTTCACTATACTAAATTTTATTCATTCACTACAATTTACTGCCAAACTCCAAATTTCACATCCGAATTAGCCCGATCCAATGCTGATAACCTACTTGCAAGATTTTTTATATTATTTTCAAGGTGTCAGAAATACTGTGGTTCATATGTAAAGAATATGAGTATATTATTTAGTAGTATTCTGGTTTTGGCATTCGGTATATTGTGCAGATTTATACATGATATTCTGTGGAATACTTTTTGTTGTTTTGAAGCATTAAGAAATGCAGAATCGAATGTATCTAATAACTATTTTGATTGATCAAATTATATCATTTGTTTGTATAAGTTATTTCATTTTGGCACAACATGGTTTCCACACTTCTTCATCCATAGTCGCTGACATCTGTAGAAGTTCACCCAACTGAAAATGTCCATTGAAAAGACAATTGCACGTGATTATTCCTAGGTACAAAAAGCAACCAACTCTGAGGTGCTCTCAATATTGACAATCCCTAACTCACGTGTTTGTAGTAAAAACGTAGTAGACCATCATGCTTTTCGGTTCATTCACGAGATTGGACCATTGTTTGCTGTAATCATACGAGACAACGTGATCATGAATATTTCAATAAGAGGCGGTTTCTTATCCGACACGGAGAGAAAATAATTTTTACCAAATAATATTTGGGCAAGGATCAGCTATTTGTAAATAATAACGGCCGTCACTTTTGAAATTGAAATAAACAAGAATATGATTTTTTTATGATTCATAAAGTTGTATTTATAATTTTGTAATATTAAAGAGATAGAATAAACAAATAAATCTTTTTATTTTAAGAAATAAAGTTATTATTACCAAATTTGTATAAAATTGTCCAATTTTTGCGCATGCTTATAAGAGATTTTCCAACCTATGTGTCAAAAATGTAATTTTTAAAAATCCCTTTAATTAACTTTAATTAATATACTACTATTCTAAAAGATGGATGTTTACCTTACAATTCTAGATAAAAATAATTACTATTTGCTTATCATTATCCCGAGAAAAATAGCTTTAAATTTCAATAACGGGCGTTACGAGTGTCGGTCAACATGATTGGTTAACTTTAAACATTGAAATTAATG